AGTAGTAGTAGTAGTAGTACATGTATTCTAAGCCGGCACCGGAAGGGGGTCAGCAAAAGTTGCGAGATCTGCATGTTCCAGTGATAGATCGACCCGTCACCAAGCGCCAGTTCCTCGATCCGAGCGCCGAAGACAGACCCCTCCCGCCCCCTTCTGCATCCTGCAGTGCCATGAGCCTTTCAGTCCACCTCCGGGATCTCATTCATCTTTAGGGTTTATTAGGGTTTATTAGGATTTAGGGTTTAGGGTTTCCCTCTCCCTGAATAAAGGATCTTTGATCCAATGTTCCCCTTCTCAAAACTGAACCCTTGGTACCTTTAGATCCAGACCTACAACTCAAGGCAGGCACGGCGTCCCACGGGCGGCAAGGGCGGCCGCCGCGCAGAGCGCTTCGGAGGCGTGCGAAATTCCACAAACTGTTTGCTTATCGTGTTCTCTCCAAGTACACAAAGCTATCGAATTGGTCAACTTATCCCTAGCCTACAATCCTGCCATGAGTTCTGCTGCTTTATCGGTGATGGTGGTGATGATTGCTGCTGATGAAGATGCTGACAGTAACCCGTGTATCTGCATTGCTCCCATGAGAGCTTGTTAAGGACAGCTCTCACGGTGTTGAAGTTGGAAATCCACGAAATACGTAACCGTCGTAATCAAGAGGGCGCAACGATATCGGCCCAAAACCCTCCAATAGTGCTGCGATCGTCCAGTAGTATGGCTCTGGGAAGTTGCGTGGGGCAGTTGGCCCAGGCATTCGAGCTTTGTGGAGTTTGCAGTTTCATAGACGACTTAGGGTTTTGAAGCTGTGCTCAGCAGCGATGTGTTTCTTTGATTAATGTTAATCTCTGACTACTGCTACTGCTGCTGCTACTACTACTGCAGCCGCTGCTGTTGCTGCCACCATTCTTGCTGCCGCTGGCGCTTCTACCGCTACTTCTACTGCTGCATTGTGCCGGGAATTTAGAACAATCGTTTGAAAAGCAAACCTTGGTCAACTTGTAACCTTGTCGGCTTGGTCATCCTGCTCGGGCACTGGTCATCTTGCCCCACTTGCCCCGTTTGCTCGCCGACTAGTTCTTTAGACCAAGATCAAGATGGCCAAAATTGCTGGCAGTCTTGCCCAAAATAATTGGTCTAAATTCCCAGCACGCTGGCTACATTGCGCCAGGAGTTTAGAGGAGTTTGGAACAGTTATTTGAATACAAATTCTTGGTCAACTTGCAATCTTGTCAGCTTGGTGTTACTTCTACTACTACTACTACTACTACTACTACTACTACTACTACTAACTACTACTACTACTACTACTACTACTACTACTACTACTACTATTGCTGTTGTAGCACTGCTTGTTGTGATGGGAAGAAGTGCAGCAGCCGGAGCCATTCGCGTCGTCGTCGTGGTAGTACGAGGAGGCAGCAACAAATCTGAAGTCAGCAGACGAATTACCGCAGTAGCCCTAGCCTCAGCCGTGGTAACACTACTTACGGCAGAAGTGGGGGGTCACGAAAGCTGTCGGCGGTATGACAAGCATTAAACATGGTCGTAGTCGTAGTCGTCGCCGTCGTCGTCGTGGTGGCATTAGTAACTAATGCATCTTCGATCAGAACCCTCACCCCAAAGACGTGAAGAACCATCGTGTGTAAATGCAGAAGGTGTGACGATCACAAGCCTTATACCATTGCTGATTGGCGTGGAAGTTTATAAAGTTTATAATCTGCACGTAACTCCTGATCTCTGGGAGCCCCAATTGAAGTCGGCAGGTTCGGACATCCGGGCTGACGAAAAAGGTTCAGGCCAGCTGGAAGGGCAATTGCCATTTAGTCGATGTCAGGTGTTGCAAAGCATTCGAAGTAAGACTGCGAAGACCCGTCATAATGGATAGTGCCCTTCCAATTATGAAGCCTCATGCATACCCCGTGTTCGGGAGATTCCTCAAAGTTTCAGCAGCAGGATCATGGTATTCAAGACCTGACAGCTTTAGACTTCAACCCTTACCCGCCTGAGCGTTTCATGACTGAAATCGTGCGGCATGTCAGAGCATTTCGCTTGAGCCTTGTGGGTCCTGCTTCAGCACTCGCGCTTGGTTAGGTTGTTCAGGGTGTGTGAATTTGTGCTGTGGGCAAAAAGAGCTACAATAGTAGATGCATGCATATAATAGTCAGCAGTCTCAGCAAGACGGCAACAGAAGGCCAGAAGATGCCAACAACACAATGGGAAGTAGGCAAAGTGGTGATCCCGATTCTCCTGGACCCCTGGCCACAGAACCGATGGCTTAGGCCTCAAATACATGCACGTTGAATGACGACCCAGGGCTCAGTGCAAGCCTTGTCTGAAGATGCTCCTCAGCGGAGTTAAATTTCAAATCTCCACTCAAGAAATTCATAGGAAGCCAGTATACCCAAGAACACAAAGTCCCCGGCTCAGACCTTGCCCGTCAACTCGAAGACTATTATTATTACTATTATTATTAGTAGTAGTATTATTACTATTAATATTGTTGTTATCTTTATCTGACCCAAGAGGATGAAGTCGAGGTACCGGGCCGCCTCCAGGTTCCTCGCTGCTGGCGAAGCCTGCGCGGGCGGTTCGGGGCTCGGTGCAGGTGATGTGGCCTAGCGACTTTTAAAATTATGACCACATTGTTTGGATAAGAAAAAATACATGCCATGTGATGACAAATGACATGTACTTTCATTATTATCAAAACACTGTGGTACACGCTATCAGGTTCTCAGAGTGTGGTAGACACTACTCGGTTCTATCCTGCAGAGGATAGACAATTCGTTCGCGAGGCGCGCTTGCACGCGGAGGTTCCCCGAAACGCCCGTTATGTACACAGGATCCGTGCGGCCGTGTCTCCCGAAAAGCAGATCCATTGTAAATTCCAGTACATTGGCTTCATTTTGGCTTCGAAATGTCGGAATCCTGCCAGTACTTGTAAACAAACATGTTGGTTGTTTCTCGCCACCGGATCCCGCCAGTACATGCCGGGAAGCATTTTGGCTGTGCTCTTGAAAACAGTGTGGTCCTGCCAGTACGTTGGACTGGGGGCAGTTGCTCCTGGGTCCTCTATTCAGAGAGCCCAATACCCCTTAATTGAGGAATATGCCTTAATTCATAATATTAAGCCCCATATAATTTGAGGTATATTGCTGAATTAAGGGGTATTGGGCTCTCTGGGTATCCCGCGTTCTGCTAGTCTCGTGGTGGTCTCCAGGTAGTCTCCTGGTGGTGTCCGGGTAGTCGTGGTGGGTCGACATGTCGTGGTGCGTGTGACTTTTCGGGGGTCGACGGGCATAATAGGTACGGTAAATGGAGCAGGGCCCAGCAAAAGACCCAAGAAAGGACCTGCAACATGATGAAGCCCCGCAGACCTTGTTTGTAGGTGTTTCTTGTCAACTTCGTGTAGTTGCACGATGTTGGGTTTCATGATCCTTTTGGGCGGCATCGGTTGAAGCCTTGCTCCCTTTGTGTAAGCCTCCCCGCCGGTCAATTGAAGCTTTTATGCCCTGAGAAAACTGTCTGACAGCATTTAGGCGGGCATGTTCGGGTTTCGCGGGCTTTCGGCACGTAGAGCTTCTGCTGTTTCAGGTTTGGGCATTGCCAGTGTTTCTGCGACTGTTAACTGTCAGCTATGGCAATGAAGCTTGTTGTGAACGTTAGCTTTGTCTGCAGGACAATATGTCATGAGATGGCGCATAGGTGAGAAAATGCGGGATGTCCAAGCCTCTGTGTGGTGAAAGTTGTTGATGAGCTCATGGCACGGGTTGCATACTATGAGTATCACCCGCTTGGGCTTGCTCTTGCCACTAGTTCTACTCCTACGACGAGGACGACGACTACTACTTCTGCTACTA